GGCCTCTAATGCCTTCCTTGGTTAATGTGCCTGGTGTCAGTGTCTCCTGCACGCCTGGATCAGTGGGAGCCTCCTGGGATGTGGGAGACTGGGAAATAGAGGGCAGCCCCCAGCCAGCCCCAGCTCCTGCACCCTCCATCATCACATAACAAGGGGAAAAGCAGCAAAAAGCTCGGCAGTAGAAATTCTACATCTAATTTCCTACGAAAACAAGGCAGAGAAGAGAATGGCAAACCTTTCCAGGCTGGTAACTCAGCCTATTGCAATTCCAGAAGTCCACAAGTGGGGCAAGAAGCAGCTGAACCTGCCAGCAGAAGGAGCTGTTTCTGCGGGCAGGGAGATGCCACCGGCACAGGCGGCAAACCCGGAGTCACCCTGGTCACCCCTTGGCAGCCACAGCCCAGGGCACCGGCCAGGAAAGGTGGCAAAGGCCCAGAAAGGAGGCAGGGACCAGGATGGAGGCAGGTTTCACAAAGAAACCCCCAGGAATCTCCCCCAATGCCATCTTGCTCCCGACGGAATTACTGAAATCCTGCAGACGGGTGTTAAGGGATCTTGTGGGAGAGGGATCAGAAGGTACTGGGAATAAATCCCTTGAAGAGGAAAGGGGTTTCCTTTGGAAATCCTCTCTGTGGGATTTACCTCTGCAAATTTTAACATGCCAAGGTGAAGCACTGTGGAGGCACCTCGAGCAAGGTGCATCCAGAAACTGGCTGGGAGCATTCAGCACTTCCAGCTCTTCCTGGCATTCCCTTGCTGGGAGTCCTGGCATCCCCTCCTGCCTTTACCCCTTGCCATCCCCTTCCCCTGCCCCTCCCCTGCCCATGCTGCCTTCAGCCATGCTCCACAAGCCTTTTCCCAGCCTCTCTCCTCTCCCCAGCACGTTCCCTCCTGCAGGATCCGGCTGTGCCAGGCTCAGGGGAGCCTCCCCCAGGCCCTGCCCTCACCCAGGACTTCTCCAGAGAACCCCCCCCACCGTCTGTGCTGGCACCTCCCAAAGGCACATCTGCTCCTGAGCCCAGGGACAAGGTGGCACAGTCAAAACTCCTCTTTCCCGAGGTTCCCACCAGCTCTGGCAGCAACAGGGATTGGCTTTGGCACCTGGACTGTGGCAGCATTTCACCCCCACGGGAGCAAACTGCTTGTAAGTGAACTTGTGGCTTTGCCATCTCTCTCCCCACTCACAGAATGCCCTGAGATGGATGGGGCCCACAGGGATCACCAGAGTCCAGCTCCTGGCCCTGCACAGGACATCCCAAGGAAAGGTATTTAAGTGCTGCCTGCGAGTTTTTCCAGCACCTGCTGGCAAACCCAGTGCCCCCACATCACCCATCCCTGAAACAGCCCTGGTGCAGCTCCCACCACTCACCACCCACCACGAGCCTCCCCCAGCCCTGCACCATTAGAGATAATTCCATTAGAGTTCCAGCCTGGGGAAAAAGGGGAGGAAAAACACAGCCAGGGATTAAAAAGGGGGAGGGAAAAAAAAAAAGTTAAAAACCCAGGAGCAGCAACAACCCCCCCATTAAAGCCATTGTCCAGGAAGACCCCAATCCACAGGCACTGACAATACCCACCCGATTAGAAACACTGCTCTGAAAGGCAGCTAATTACTAGAAATAATTACTAGAAAGAAATCTGTTATGGCTTATCAGTTTCCTCACTGTTTAACCAACCCCCTCCCTGCCTGCCCCTGCTGAAGATGAACAGTAAATTGTGAAGCTGGTGATCTCAAACAGACAGAAAAGCCCTTCTCACACTCCTCATCCTCTGGGCCAAGCTGGTTTGTCACCATGCTGTGTGCTGGCACCACCCTGGGAGAGTCAGGGACACTGCTGTCACCTCTCCACACCCTGGGCTGGGATGCTCAGATGTCCTCAGGATGTCCTTTGTCCTCCAGGAGCAGCCCCAAGGGCTGGCACAGGACACCCCAACAATCCCCCCCGTCCCTCTCAGCGTTGTCCAAACGCTCCTGGAGCTCTGGCAGCCTTGGGGCCGTGCCCACTGCCCTGGGGAGCCTGGGCAGTGCCCCAGCACCCTGGGGGGGAAGAACCTTTCCCTGAGATCCATCCCAAGCCCCCTGGCACAGCTCCAGCCCTTCCCTGGGCCCTGTCCCTGGTCCCAGAGCAGTGCCCAGACACTCCTCAGACCCTTCACCAACTCTGTGTCCCTCCTTTGGACATTTTCTAATTTACTTTCTTCTTCTTTTTTTTTTTAAATTCAGGTGATCCCATCCCCGTGCAGCACAGCCCAGAGCTCCCTGCCCAGTCAGTCCTGCACACAGCTCTGGTTTTCCCCCTCCCCTCGTGGAGCTGAAGCTGTGGCAGAGACTGAAGATTCCCCTCACATTGTCCCTGAGTGCAGGAGAGGCATCACCCCCAGCTCTGGGGGAGCCCTGAGGGCAGAGGAAGGTCAGCTCTGAGAGCAGCTCCCCCAGGTCCCATGCCAGGGCAGCCCCTCCCTGCTCTGTGCTGCAGGGGCCTCCCAAAGCAAATCCCACCGTGCCAGACACAGGATGTTCAACAAAAGAACATCCACGAGGCCAAATCCAACATCTCTGTGTCTGAGCTGAACACATTTCAGTGCTCTTCCTTTCAAACTGGCTTTGGATGAGGTGTGCACCCTGCAGTCCACAGGGACACCACCCCAAGCCTGGGTTGGGGCAGGGCTGCAGTGAGGAGCAGGCAGTGACTGTCTCTCTGGGGATGCTGTTCCCATGCCAGGACTGCTGGGATCACTGCCTGCTTGTAGGGAATGACAGGGAACAGCAGGGATTAAACCTGCCTGGCCTGTGCACCAGAGCTTTGTGCTGCCCCAGCTCTGCCCCAGGGGCTGAGCAGCCCCCTCCTCACGGCTCCAGGAGGGGACTCTGGGCAGGGGAGGAGGGCACAGGGTGGGGTGATGGCAAAGGGACCCACCAGGACAGGAACAAGGGGCAGGGCCGCAGCCTCACAGGGATTTTGGGGATGTGCTGGCAGTGCCCTACTCTGGCTGAACTCACACCCATGTTCCTTCTCTCCTGGGCCAGGCAAATCCCTCCAGCCCTGCCTTTTCCATGGATTTCTGCCCACGGAGTTTGCAAAGCCATCTCCCGGTGCAGGGACACACTGGGAAGAGCTCTGGATGAACACACATGTTCCACTGCTCCTTTATCCAAAGGGCCACCCCTGCAGCTTCTAAATCTCTCTCCTTGCCCTCTGCTCATGTCAGATCAGTTTGAGTGGTGACACAGCTCGTGAGGGAAGGGGAGCACAGGCTGCACCCGGGATCCTCCTCGGCCACTTCGCAGCCCCAAAATGCCACCAGCCTGCAGGGGCAGGTGAAATCTCCACTCTGGAAAGGATTGTTTCAAAGCTCGGGCTGGCAGGAGCTCCTCAGCCCACCAAAAGCCTGGTCAGAGAGGAGTCTCTTTTTCCATGTGGAAAACAGAGCCAAAAAAATCACCGTTTTGCTCCGTTTCCCCACCAAGTGCTGCCTGGCCAGCAGTGTCCCTGCGCCCTGGGAAGGTGCTCGCTGTCCCTAAAGCCCGTTGTCAGAGGATGGGGGGCTGCAGCCTGGCCCTGGGACATGCTCTGACTCCAGGAACCCGAAATCCAGAGGACAGGGGTCCCAGGAGGAGGCCAGCACCACCATGACTGTGCTCAGAGCTGCAGCAGCACGGGAAGCCAAAGCCCACACTGTCTTTGGGGGGCCCTTTCAGCTCAGCCTCCATCTCTAGCTGGCCAAGCCCACCACTGCCAACACAGGTCATTCATAGCCCACCCAAAACATTTCTTTCAGCAGTTCTTGATCCTTCTTGGAGAGAGAGATCAAGTGGGAAAGAGACACAAATTCTGATTTTGGAGAAGGGCTCAGATGTCTCACACACCTTTCATCCACAGAGTACCAGAACATGCTCATCCTCATCTGCTCCCTCCACCTCCTCCAATTTTCAAATTCTCTGATTCCACTCAAGTTCCCCACTGGAGTGAGGTTCCCAGCCCAGGGGGACCTTGATGGCTTTTCTCCAAAATCAGAAGTGACACATCTCCAAAACTCTCCCTCCCATTCTGCCACTGCTTTCACACTCCTGCATGCAAAAGCACTATTTTGCACTGCCCCTTCCTCTCCCCTATCCCTCAGCATCTGGCCACTTGAAAAACATTCAGAAGCAGCTTGGAAAAGAGGAAGAGAAAATCCGTCCCATGGTCTTCCTTGGGTCCATCAGCACGTGAGCAGGTTTAGATCAGATTGTAGGTTTAGATTAGATATTGGGAAAAAATTCCCTGTGAGGGTGGTGAGGCCCTGGCACAGGTTGCCCAGAGCAGCTGTGGCTGTCCCACCCCTGGAAGTGCCCAAGGCCAGGTTGGACAGGGCTTGGAGCCACCAGGTTTAGTGGGAGGTGTCCCTGCCCATGGCAGGGGGTGGGACTGGATGGGCTTTAAGGTCCCTTCCCACCCAAACCATTCCACGTTTCTACAATGAAAACTTATTTATGTATTTTGGAACCTGCTCCAGGAATCGACGCTTTCTACTTTACCACACCCAACTTTAGGAACAAAAGGGACTTTGAAATGTGAAGAACCCCTTTACCCCTCTGGCTGTTCCCCATTTCTGGAGCTCCCGGTGCTGCACCCACTGCCTGGTCAGGACCCCGCGGGGACACAGCACTCGAGCCTCGGGCACAGAGCGTGGCCACTGTCCCACAGGCCACTGATTGCCCTCAGCTCCAGGGCCAGCCACTGGAAACCACCCTCTGGGGCCGTGGAGGCTCCAGCTCCACGTGCCGGGGACCGGTCGGGCCGGCAGCCCCGCCGGGAGCGCCGGGAGTGCCGCGGCGCCTGCCAAGGACCGGGAGCCCCGGCTTTGAGAGGGAGCCAAAGGCGTCTTCCCTGCACACATCAAAGGGGAAACCTCCGTGTTCCTCCTCGGGCAGCTCCTTCTGGGCTGGAAACTCTCAAGGCTGCCTTGGCCCCAGGTGTGGGATGGGCTGGGATGGGCCCCCCCACGCACACCCCCCCAAAACCCCGCTGAGCTGCATCAAGGCTCCCCCGTCCTGCTCAGAAACTTCTCCTCTGCTTCACTGACATCCTCCCGGGGCAGAAATGAGAAGGAACAACCGCCCTTGCAGAGGGGAGCTGCTCAGAAATGCTCCTCCACCTGCACACAACACACCTGCCCCCAGCAACACGAGGGGTGAAAGGGGGGAGCAGAGCTGACAGGGAGCCCCTCGCTCTGACCTGAGCCAGGAGCAGCCAACATGTGGCTGCTCCCTTCCCAGCACAACCCTGCTCTGCTTTTCCCCTTTCCCACCAGCTCTGCAGGAGGAAGGTCCTGTCGTGGGGGGGATTTTCCGTTTCAAACACCATTCCCTCTTCTCACCCCTCCTTCACACCCGAAGCAAGCCCCGTCCCGGCACCGCTCCCTCCGCACGCCCCGGAGGGTTTAACCAGCCCTGCGTGGGCAAAGGTGGGGAGGACTAACCCCAATTCCTGACCTCTAATGCCATTAGAGCTCTCTAAGCCCTTCAGGATGGATATTTTCTGCTCTTAATCTCTCCTCCCGCCCCCGAGCTGGGAGAGGTAACTGGGTAAATGGTCACACACGTCCGGTCACGCAGGATCATCATCTCCGGTGCTCACAGGGACCTGGGAGCTCCTCACACTGCCCAGTTGGAGCTGGGGATGGGGGGGTCAGATGGGGCTGTTGGAGCCCTGCAGGACAAGGGAAGAGGCCCCTCCAAATCCCACTGCAGCAAGGGGAGCACCTCCAGCTCTCTGCAGGGGCTGCCAGGCTGGGAGGCGACACAGCCACGAGCCCCTTCCAAGTCACCGAGTGGGTTGGGTTGGAAGGGACCACAGTGGGGTCATCTGGTCACACCTCCCCACTCAAGCAGGCTCATCCCAAGTCCTTAACGTTGTCCTAAATCCTTAACAATGAGTGTTTCTTCTCTCCCTCTCATTCCTGGTGCTCTCCCACCCCTGATTACCAGCTCCCAGGAGCACACTCAGCCCTGTGCCAGCACGTCAGGCACTGATCTCTGCTACTGCCTCTGGGTGCTCCTGTGAAGCAGAGAAAAATAACCACACACACAAAACACGGCAGCTGTCCCACAGGTTGGGCACTGGTGAAACCCTCTGGATCCCAGCTCCTGGGCCACAGCTGGGAGAACACCCGGAGCGGGTCTGACACGGGGAACGGCAACGCCGGTCGATGCAAAACGCTGCCACCACCACGGGCCAGCCTGTGCCACGTGTGCCCTGCCCTGGGGACCTGCCAGGCAGCTGGGAGGCACTTACCCACGAGTCCTGCTCCCAGGAAGGGCGACGAGGAGATGCTGTTGTGGGAGGGCATGTCCCGGTGCTCGCCGTAGTGGGGGCCTTCGCCATAGCTCTGCTGGGACAAGAGCAGAGTTACACGGGAGCCAAACCCCAAAACACGGGGCTGTCAGGGCCCAGCCTCCCCCAGGCAGGGGCAAAGCCAAAGGCTCCTTGTAAAAAAAGGGGTTTTATCCTCATGCCAAAGGAGAGTTGGGCAGTGCAGCCACGAGGATGTGGTGCTGGGAGGGGACATGGCACCATGGTTTGCAGCTCTCAGGCAGTTTGGCACCCACCAGGTGGGAACCAGGCAGGCTCTCCCCGAGCCAGGGGGGGAAAAGGGGCTAAGAAAAGGCTGGATAAATATAAACATGATTTTTTAACATATTTATATACATATATAAATTCTAAATATATAAATGAGAGCCGACAGCACAGTGACAGCTCTGCTGCTGACCAGAGGGGAGGGAAAGGTGCCATTGCAAAAATGAATCACACAAGCCCATTAAAACATGAGCAGCTGCCAAAATAACACTGTTTCCACTAAGTTCATCTCTTTCCTCTCTTCCCCTCCCCAGGCCCAAGTCCTGAGCTGCTGCAGCCTCGACTCCTTCCCTGCAAAACCCTTCCCATGTTCTCCATCCCCACTAAGGCCACTTTGGCTGGATGATGTGGTGGATCCCCTTGGTCTCCCTTGAGTGGTGGGTGCCCAGAAAGCTTCGTCACCAGGTGAGAAACCTCAGCCCACCCAATCGTGACCCCATCTGTGGGACCCCTGTCCCACCCTGCCCCTCTCCCACACCAACCCTGAGTGCAGGGAGGGGAGATGCCTGAGCAGCCATGGGAGACCACCCCAGTGTGGGTCTGGGGGAGGTTTTTGGAGGAGAAACCTCCTCCAGGCAGCAAAGCCCGGGGAGATGGGGATGGGAGGCCCCTCTCCCTGCTGTCCCCCCCGCAGGGTTCCCAGAACCCACGTCCAAAATGGGGCAAGAGAAGCTGTTCCCGATGCTCTGGGAGGCCTGGGAAAGCCCCCGTTTGTTTGGGCTGGAGCTCCTGTCTGTGCTTTGTCCTTACCCTTCCTTGGTCAAACGCGGAGCTGTTTTGATCTCCCGTTCCCCAGGAACCTGATCCCGGCCTTTCATCCAAGCCTACCGAAAAACAGGAAGAACAAAGGTTACTCTTTGCTTTATCAGCAAAGCCTCAAAGGTGTTCTCGTAAAATTAACTCTTCCTTCTACAAACAAAACAATATTTTCATTAATAAACCACTTCCACTTGGCGTGACTGAGCCTCCCCTCTCCCTCCTCACCTTCCCACTCCTGCTGGGATTTATTCCACAAACTTCAAAGCAAATCCCACCACAGTCTGGAAATGTTTCAAAACACGGGACAGTGGGAAGAGGAGAAACAAGTATTTTAACTCCTTTATTCCAGAGAGCACCCATCAACCTCTTCCCCCCACAGACTGATGGTGAAGAGGAGAAAGAAACATCCCAGTGAGTCAGAAACATCCCAGTGCACCCATCCCAGTGCTCCAGCAGGACCTGATTTTTGTCCATGGAGCTGCAAGGTCACGGTGTCCAGGTGTGATGTCAGCAGGGGCCCATCAGAGCACACTCCTGCTCATCTCAGCTTTAGCCCTCCAAGCACATCCCTGGCAAAAGGGGATCTCACCCAGATGGCAAAGGACCAACCAGGAGGGTTTTGCAACGAGCCTGCACAGCCTGTGGGGGGAACTGAGCTCCTTTCATCACCTGCCAGGTCCACCCAGGCTGCAGCTCTTGGGCCCACGAGGCACCCCAGGGAGCCAGAGAGTCATGGAATGCTGTGGGTTGGGAGGGACCTCAAAGCTCATCTCATTCCACCCCCTGCCATGGGCAGGGACACCTCCCACCAGCCCACCTTGCTCCAAGCCCTGTCCAACCTGGCCTTGGACACTTCCAGGGATGGGGCAGCCACAGCTGCTCTGGGAAACCTGGGACAGCCCCTCCCCACCCTCACAGGGAGGAATTGCCTCCCAGTGTCCCATCTAACCCTGTCCTCTGGCAGTGGGAATCCATTTCCCCTTGTCCTATCTCTTCAGGCTCTTGTCCCAAGTCCCTCCCTGGATCCCCTTCAGGGAGATACAAATTCCCACTAGGACACAAAAATCCTGGGGTGTTGCATAAGCAAAGCTGAAGTTCCAGCTGACACCACGACTGCACAGAAAGAGCATTCCCTGGAAAACATCCTGAACCTGACTGGGCAGCAGCATTTGTGACTGTGCTGCTCCATCTCCCGCCCTGGTGGGTGACCAGGGGTTTAAAGGCTCGGGGGGTTAAACCCAGGGATTTGAGAGGGGGCTGGGCAGGGTGGGGGCATCATCCCTGGAGACACTGCATGGACACCAGCAAGGAGAAATCCCAGCCCCTGGGAGGCTGAGCAGGGTGGAGGGCACTGGCAAACCCCAACCCCCCGCAGGGGTTCATGGCCACACTCATGGAGTGACATGTGGCACCCCTGGCAGCACCCAGGATCACCCCGTGACAGCACTGGGGTCCCGGGGGCTCTCCCTGTGCTGGCCCTTCCAAAAGCCAAAGTGCCAGCAGGGATGGCCCTTCCAGGTGCCCCAGGACGCCGTGCTGGGAGCAGAGAGCTGCCTGCAGCAGTGGGGACAGTGGGGTGGGCAGTGTGTGGGAGCAAGGACACGGAGCAGGGCAGGGGGACGGGGCTCACTCCCATTCCAGCTCGGCAAAGCTGATTATTATGGCAAACATGCCATGGATTTGTCTCCTCCGCTCCCCTCACTGTTCATTTAACCAGAAACTTCTTTCAAATTACATCCTTCTATTTCGGTGCCTTTGTGTTAATCATTTCCCCAGAGAATTGGTGTTTAATTGCTGTCTAATTTGCATAATTATGCATATTAATCTCCACACCTAATGAATATTCATAATTCTCATTTAGATTTTGTTTTCTAATCAAAAATTTCCAATGTGATTACTGTGCAGAGCAGGGATAAGCCTCTAATAATACCTTGGATACTGGGGAGAATTACTGCCAATTCTCCCACCTCCTACTTCCTAGAATAAACTTTTGCTTTGCTAATGTGTTTTTCCAAAAGCAATTCATCTGCAATCCCTGCAAACCCCAGCGAGGCAGGAGGAAAAAAATGCTCCTTGGAGTCATTTTGCTGTCACGGGTGGTTTTAAAGCTCCCCAAGGGTCAGGGCGGAGGCACGAGGAGGATCCGCAGGCTCGGACATCCTTGGAACACCCTCCCTCTGTGCTGGAAGGACAAGGACTGCAGCACCACAGTCTCTGGAGAGCCCTGGGCTGCCTGGAAGCCCAGGGTGAATTCTGCCCAGCTTGTGGAGTCTCCCTCACTTGAATCATCCCTTGAGATATTCCAGAACCTTCAGTTATTCCCTTCAGATATTCCAGAACAGTCTGGACACGATCCTGTGCTGCTGTGCTCTGGGATGACCCTGCTTGAGCAAGGAGGTGGGACCAGATGACCCACTGGGGTCCCTTCCAGCCTTACCCATCCTGGGATTCTGTGCCAAAATCCCTGAAAAAATAAAAATAAACCTGCCAGGCTTCCCCAAGGAAGGAGGGAGAGGAGACAGCGGGTGGCAGAGGTGACAAAAGCTGAGGGGGAGGCTCACACACCCCTTAAACAAGGAGAAACCCCTGGCACAA